TTTATCAAGGGTTTAGGGTGTAGGGTTTACTACGGTTGATGATATCAATCCTGCATTACCCATAAAAAGGAATATGCCATAATTCCCATAGTTTAGCGTCCTTATCGTAATGCAGGATTTATATCATCAACAGTAGTGCTCTTGGCCAAATGGCCTCAGATCCTTCTTTCGGATCCCGGCCTTAGTTTAGGAAGTCGTCCGGACTGAGAGGAGCCTCGAAGACTCTTGCATAGAGGCTTTCAGGCACTTGGGCCCAGGGCATGCGAAGTGGCCATCGGCTGCAGAGTTGCAGAGTTCAGGGCTACTAAAGAAGCCTCGAAGGAATTAGTAAGTAGCATTGTTCCCTTATAGTCCCTACACATTTACGTTATAGTACACCTCTGGACTTCGGCGACATGCACTTGGGCGTAAATTAAAGGCTGAAGTACTCCGAGCAGAATTGGCGAACTTCGACCGAACGCTTGAAGGTTTTGGTTGGAGAAGCCCTAAGCCCTAAATAAACCTTAAAGCCTAAACCCCTGAATCCTAAATCCTAAACTCTAAAACTCTAAACTCTAAGCCCTAAAACCCAAAGCCAATAATGTCGGCGATTGTCATGTTCAGGCTGTCACTGCAAGAGATGCTTCGCTGCACATGGGCCGAGGAATATCACGCCAAACGCTAACCTTACCAGGTGGGCCCAGGCCTTCGGATCTGACCCAATAATAAGAGTCCGAATAATGCCAATAGTACGATTAATACTAACAGTAAAAAGAACAATAATAACAATAAAGTGATAATAATGATAATGATAATATTGATTGTGGCCATGGTAAACACAGAACAGATTATGATGACAATAGAACTAACAGCAGTAACAACAATAACAACAAGATCTTGAACTACACCCCTAAACCCCCGGGAGCACATACTTAGTGAGGCTGCAGGCACAGCTGCTGGTAGCTGAAGCCGGGCGTCTTTTACAGCAGGAGCCCACAGTCGTCTGACAAGTCAGGCAGACCGTAGCATCGCGCCCAAGGGCTGGGAAGGTTTGATCTTGTCTGCGTAGAGTTGTGATCAGACCTGTTAGCTTTGGCCCCGGCACTGACTCACTTGGCTCATGTCTCTCTTTTTCCAGTCTCGGATGATCATGATTCCTTAGACCGGGGCCGTGGCTTGCTTGATGTTTGCAATCGTCTCTTGCACTGCTTGATGCGCTGGCCTTTACGTTGACGAGAATTCGTTTCAGTCTGAATGTGTGAGGCAAGGTCAGATGCTGGCACGGTACCCTGCCATACCGAGACCCGCCTCGAAACCAATTTGTTTAAGAGCCTAAACCCTAGAACCTAGAACTGCGAGTCCCGGCTCTGTCTTTTTGTGGCCTGCATTCTGACATGCCTTGCTCCTTGAGCGCCTACATGGACAGACTTGACTCATGTGTAACACAGCCAGGAGACGCCGATGAGAGAGATTCAAAGCTTGTGGCTTGGGTTGGGAGGGCTGTGGTTTAGGACATATGTAGGGTTTGGGGTTTAGGGTTTAGGATATATTGCATGTTATATGTTATATTATATGTTACATACTATTGCTATATCTTGCATGTTCGAGGTAGATCATGGATTTCAGGAAGGTTATGAGCTGAATCGACGAGCTAGCTTGTGCCACGGCGGATCCTGCCCGTGACTTCATGGTTGTGGCCTTCTCTGCGACGCACGTAGTGACGTTTCAAGATCAGGGCCCCAAGAGCATCTGCTGTGAAGCCCCTTTGGGGTTTAGGGTGTAATTTAGGGTTTAGGGTTTAGTACTTTAGGGTTTAGGGTTTAGGGTTTAGTATCTTTGGGTCTACTGTAGGGTGTTGGGGTTTATAGGTTTTTAGAGTTTTAGGGTTTAGTGACGGTCTGGGGTCACGTGGGGGGGCCCTGGTTCTGGCGAACCCGCATGTGGCAGTCCATCAGCCGAGGGACATGTACGTAAGGTCCACAGGGACCTCTTTAAGGCCGCCGGGGCTTTTCGAGGTTTTTTCATGTTGTTGGCTCAAGAACCCTCTCTAGAAACCTATAGGGTTTAGGGGTTAGGGCTTAGGGTTTAGGGGTTTAGGGCTTAGGGGTTTAGGGGTTAGTCATAGTAGTAGCGAGGGGTCTGGGGTGAGGACTTTAGCTGCTAGCTAGCCGCACATGTCCGTTTCCGACAATGTCTCCCCAACTCGAAGAGCTGTGCCAGGTGACTCGGACGATGAAACTGAAGCCCCCAAAGATAATCATCCATTTCGTCTACTTAAAGACCAGGACACTGAGATGCTTCCAGACCTAATCAATTTGCATGGCCATTTTTAGAATTTTCCCAGCTTCTTGGCTCCTTCTGTTGGTGCTGTGCCTCCCACTCCGGCTGCCTGCTGTCCCGGCCATGAAGTGATGGGCATGTCAGGCGTGCGAACTCATTTCAATGACCGCTTACATGAAGAAAAGCTTCGCCGTATGCCAGCACGGTGCCACGCAAATTCGCCAGGTTCCAGGAGGACTTGCAGAGGTTGGTTGTAGCGATGGAATGTAGCTTGGAGCGCGGCTTTCGTTGCTGAGGCACTTCCATGCAAGACGCTGCCATACTTCTTCCAGGGTCGCTTCTCGTGAGTCTTGTCTGCTCTTTTCCGCATTTTCGGCTCGCAGTTGATTTCTTTTGTAAGCTGCCCCGGCCCCTGCTTATAGCAGTTTTCTGGAGTTCAACGCAACACACCGCCGGGCAGAATTGTATCGAGAAGCTACGAGCCCATGGGAGCTACAAGTACTGTATGTGGGGGCACCTTACTGATTACTTCCTCCCAAGCGTCTTGCCGTGGAAGGTCACGGGTGACCTCTGTCGGCTACTGTTCAGAAGTCTTTGCAGGTCTGCAATGCTGTGGGATGTCGTTTGGGTTGGGATTAGAGTCGGTTAGGAGCAATAGCTCACTCGGACTTGCTTCTAGCTGTAACAACAGGAACACGTGCAGTTCCGAATTTCGTGACCAGCTGTCGACACTTCTTTTCACGACGGGTGTGTTAGCGCACACTTCACGCACGCATGTCTGGCCACTGCCGCTGCCGAATGGACAAGGAGAACGGACTAGGATGGCACAACAGAAGCAGAATGTCGAGTTTGCCTCGTTGTAAGCCAAGGCAAGATGTCTCACTGTGTCCATGTTTGAAGGACGTAAAAGGCTGTAAAAGTCCATGAGAGGATTTGAAGACAGGCTGGGGCTTCACAAGATAGTTAGAGGAACAGGGGCACCTCGCAGACTCGTGTCGCACACATGGCATGGGTCTAATAATCTAATATTTAAGGGCCCTGAATATGTACGAAGACTATTCCCTTAAATTCCTGCTTTATACTACAATATAACTGGTACTTCTCTAAATTAGGGTCCCTGTTAGGACCCTTTATGCGGGTCGCCTTGATTTGGGTGCCGGCAAAGGGACCCTAATTTAGAGAACTACCCCAAGACACCTGCCAATGCTATTGAAACCACTAAGTCCGCCCGGGCCGAGATGGTTAGCGCCCTCGTTTTGGGCACAAGATAACCTTGGGTTGTTGGTGGTTATGGGTTTAGGATTTCAAGGCTTTAGACAACTCTGCCTCAGGTGCCCAGCTAAAAGTCCTTCACCCTGAAACTGAGGAGCCTAATAGGTAAACTTTAGACTTTTTTGGCATATTAAACCCCTACTAAAAGAAGAGTTTAAACTTTTTTGGCTCAGGGTACTGGGCAGCAAAGGAAACCATAAAGCACGGAGCCTACAACCCCAAACCCCTGGCCTAAAGCCCTGAGACCCTGGACCATAGGGCCCCAAATCCCAAACCCTAAATGCTAGCCCCTAAACGCTAAATCCTAGACCCTAAACCCTAAACGCTAACTCCTGGACCCTAAACCCTAAATCCTGGACCCTAAACCCTAAATCCTGGACCCTAAACCCTAAATCCTAGACCCTAAACCCTAAAGCCTCAACCCACCGAAGGATGCCGGTTCCTGAGACTCCTGGGGCTGTGCCGGGAGCTGAGGGATGCTTCATAGAGGGACAGGAAACCTAGAAGGGAAGGGTTTAGGGTTTAGGACTTTGGGTTTAGGGTTTCGGATTTAGGGTTTAGGATTTAGGGTTTCGGGTTTCGGGTTTGGGGTTTAGGCTTTAGGCTTTAGTATTTAGGGTTTAGGGTTTAGGGTAGTAATAGGGAGACCCCTGAAAGGGGGGGGACCCTTCTGGACCCTACTTATGGCTCTCTTAAACGGGACCTTATAGCGAGGGTCCATCCCCCAAGGGTCCGCCTAATCTTATCTTCTAGCAAGGGATCCATCAAGGGTTCCTTTAAAGTTTTCCGTTAAGGGTTCCTTTAAGGTATCCTTTAAGGTATCCATAGGGATTCAGGGTATGAAGGTTGCGGGTTAAGGGTTTATGGGTTCAAGTTTCATGTAGGAGCCTTATGAGGAACCCCGGTTCTTTATTTGGATTCTTCAACCCTAAACCCTAAACCCCAATATTATTCTGGGGCAGGAAACAATAAGGACAGAGCTTCTTGATCGGGTTCGTATACTATGGGGAAAAATATGGAGCGCTAGTTGCGATTTAGGCTTCGGGGGGCACTACAGGGCTCGCGGAGGTTGTTCGGGGTTGAGGCTTAGGGATCAAACGTTTTGAGCCTTATGTGCATGTCGTGCTCATTCCTGAAAGGTCTATGAGCTGTCGAAGGGTTCTGCGATGCCTCCTCCTTGATCATCACCATGGCACATAGCTTGTTGAAGGGTTTGGGGTCGAGTCTGGTATGATGGGTTGGGGGGGGCACTCTACAATCAATAGAACTACACAAGCCCAGAAGCCCTAGAACAACAGTGTCCCGTGGGTTCGGGGTGTGTACTGACCGGGGCTTTGCCTGGTGCAGTGATGCGATTGTCCAACGTCCGCAAAGATGGCACCGCCGCTGTGGCTCCCCAGAACCAGCGTGTGTAGCAGTGTCCCTCTTCTTGCTCAAAGCGTTGCAAAAGCGTTGAAAGCAGCTGCAGAATGGTGCCTTCTCTTGCACTGCTTGTCTTGGGTCTGAACATCCCCGCCCTTTCGGCCACATGTGCAGAAGGCAGTATCGAAGGCTGCTACTCGGATTTGGATGGCGAGCTCTCTTTGCGCCAGCTGCGTGCCGTGAGGCGACATGATTCAGAGGTGGCTGCGGGACAGGACAATGAGGATGAGGTGCTGGCGCAGGAGGGTGATCAAGACCTGACAAAAGACGAGTGGGGTTCCAGCTCGAATCAGCCCCAGTACGGATCGCAGTACGGATCGCCGTATGGATCGCAGTACGGATCACCGTACGGATCGCAGTACGGATCACCGTACGGATCGCAGTACGGATCACCGTACGGATCGCAGGGATCACAGTATGGATCGCAGTGGGGTGCCAGCTACAGCAATGAGAAGTGTTGCCGATGCAAGTCTGGCAGCATTGGTTGGTCAGCAAGCGGACGTTGCTCCTTCTGTCATGGTTTCGTCGAGAAGACTGCAAGTGTGGCACCCGAGTGCCGGAAGAGCAGCCCCAATTTCATGGGAAGCCATGCTTGTGCGAAAGCATGCAAGTCCAAAGTCAAGAGCAGCTGGTCTTGGCTGGAGACCGCGGAAGGTAACGCGACGCAGGACTGATCACAAGGGACTTTTCCATAGATACACGTGCTTAGCTGGATCTTTGGTTCTTGAATCATGGCTGGCCAGAAGTGCCATTGAAAAGCTGTGAATGAGTTGGTAAATGCTTCAACTTAGAACTGTAGCTATGCATGGTGGCTCAGGGTTTAGAGCCTAGGTTTTTAGGGGTTTCGGGCTTTAATGGTTAAGGGTTTATATTGGTTTAGAGTGAGTGTGGTGGAGGTGAAGGCATTGTGGTCGGCAAGCTTTGGTAGAGTAGAGTAGTTGCGAGAGCCGCTTGCATGCGACATGTGAGCATCCCGAGCTCAGCCTGATGGATGTTCAGCCTTTCGCCAGTATGCACATGATCAGTATACAAGGTTAGTAGTCTCATTCAGCAATTTGGAATAGCCTTAAGATAAACACATGTTACAGAAACAAGAGCTGCGATTGCAAAGAGTGGAAATTTCCTGGGCCCTAGCTAGCCCTCTAAACCACTACTCTCCTGGACCTTTATACAACCGTCCTACACCCCTATAGACCCTGACACCACTTGAACCTCGTCTCGACATGCCGACATAATGTAGAAGTTTGAATATTTTGGAAAAACTGCTGTTTAGGGCAACCCCTATCGTCACATACCCTAGAAGCCCCTATAGAACCCGTAGAGACCCTGAACCCGAAACCCTACAAGCCCTCATAGAACCCCATAGACCTCACTAAACCCAAACCCATAAGTCTTAATAAGGCCCCCTTTTTTTAGATGCCGCCACGGCGCGCTGCCCTGGCGTTTGCAGCCTGCGTCTGCCTGTCCTGTGGCAGCTCGGCTGTGGGAGTAGGGTCTGGGTTTAGGGATTAGGCTTCAGGGTTTCAGGGTTTAGGGTTTAGGGTCTGGGTTTAGGGATTAAGCTTTAGGGTTTCAGGGTTTAGGGTCCGGGTTTAGTTAGGGATCAGGCTTGAAACGCAGGGGCCCGAAGTGTCGGAGTCGGGGGCTTATAAGGGGTTCTAGGGCTTAGCGTTTAGGTTTAGCCTCCGCGCCGGCAGCGTTTGATTCCTGCAAGCGTAAGCCCTCGACCCTAAACCCGAAACCCTAAACCTGAAACCCGAAACCCTAAACCTTCAACCCAAAACCCAAAACCTTAAACCCTAAACCCGAAGCTCGAATCCCTAAACCCGAAGCCCAGAAACGTTAAACCCGAAACCCTAAGCCTTAAACCCTAAACCTTAAACCCTAAACCCGAAACCCTAAACCCGAAGCCCGAATGCCTAACCCGAAACCCTAAACCCAAACCTCAGCCTCGGCCTTAGCCGATGCTAACAACGAGTTACCCAGAGCAGCACTTGCGCAAATTTCGCCCGAGGCCACTTCGTGGAACTGAGAAGTGTGCGCTGTCTGGAGCCGCCAGGCTGAGTTAGGTATCGCATCATACTATGCTGTATTGTATTCTGTGGCATCATAGTCTAGTATAGTTTTGGTATAGTATAGTGAAGTATAGTACAGTAAGCAGCGTATAATAGTAGAGTCTTATATAGTATAGTGTAGTATGTTTTGCCGCAGTATATTGTAAGAGGTGATTGGAGGTGCCCAGTCCTGAACTCTGAACGGTTCTGGTTTTCACTTTTCAGAGTTCTGTCAGCCCGTTTTCGATCGCGAAACCACCTAGAAGGGGCCCCGCAACGTGGCGCGCAGAGGGATGCAAAGTCGTGGGTAGGCAGAAAGAGGCTTATACTGTAGCGAGCTGCAGTTCATTCGAGGCCCGCTCAAAATCATGATTAGCCTGCTTCCTCCTGCTGCCCACACTAGCGCAATTTGCAGAAAACAATGTATCAAACAACCGACACTGGCACTGCTGTAAAGCCCAAAGTCCACCGTAAACCCTAAACCATCAACCGCATTCCCAAAGGGTCCAAAATATCTATATAGTAGATAGAATGTAGGGTCTTCTTTATTGGGAATCCTTATGATGATTTGGAGAAGTATCCCCCTCATAGCAGTACCTAGGACCCTTTGGGATTATCAACCCTAAACCCTAAACCCTAAATACATCCTAAATAAACCCTAAACCCTAAATCCTAAATAGAACCCCAACCCTAAACCCTAAATAAGTCCTAAATAAATCCTAAACCCTAAACCCTAAACAAACCCTAAACCCCCAAATAACTCTATAAACCCCCACACCCAGGCTCCAAGGCCAGTTGCCCATCGGCGACGTGGCTGTGAAGTGGAGCGATGAGTTGGAGAAGGATGCCAGGATCGAGACCGTCCCAAGAGATAGAACTGATGGGACCCCTGGGGTTTTGGGTTCAGGGTTGCAGGCTTGGGGGTCTAGGGGTTTAGGGCTTAGGGATTTAGGGTTTGTAGGGGTTTAGGGTGAAGGGTTTGGGGTTTAGGGGTTTAGGGGTTTAGGGTTTAGGGTTCGGGGTTTAGGGTGTAGGGTGTAAGGGTTTAGGGCTCATGACAACCCTGAACCCTGTAGCCTGAGCCTGTACTTTTTATTGATGTGGTCTTGACTAGAACTGTGGTGTTCAGGTAGACCACCGTTATCAGGTTTGATCACCCAAAGGGTCCTAAGTACCAAGATGGGTATACTTGCCCAAACCCTACTACGGTTGATGATATAAATCCTGCATTACCTTGAGGACCCTAAACTATGGGAATTATGGTATATTCCTTATTCTGGGTATGCAGGCATTAGATCATCAACCGTAGTAGTTCCGATTATCGAATCCCTACCCATAGGCTCCTAAGTAGTTCCTTTTTTATGGTTCTTATAGGATCCTAAAGCAAATCCCCAAAAGGAACAACTAAGGAGCCTATGGGTAGTTTCTATTATACAGGTGCGCAGGAACCTTGGATCACGGGAGGCCAGCACACCGGTCAGATCATAGAGGCTGCCGTAGGTCCCAGAAGTATCTTTGGAGCTGTCGTGGCACTTGGAGGCCCAGGGGACTTAGTAATTTAGGGTTTAGGGGTTTAGGGGTTTAGGGTTTAGGGTTTAGGTTTAAGTGGGTTATAAGTAGAGTTATAAGTACCCTAGATGGAGTTACCCTAATTATAACCCTACTTATAACCCACTTGCTAAGTCTCCTGGGCCTCCAAGCAGGGACATCTGCGACGGCGAGAGCCTTTGCGCCGGATACATGCGCTACACAGGCCTGGCGGTGACAGTGTGTGCATGTCAACTTGGAGGCCCAGGGGACTTAGTAAGTCGCTTATAGGTAGGGTTATAGTTAGGGTAACTCCATTTAAGGTACTTATAACTCTACTTACAACCCACTTACTAAGTCCCCTGGGCCTCCAAGAAACCCTGCTTTGCAACGACCAGAGCGAAGATGCATGGTAGCACTCAGGCGATGCCATGCCTGCTTGCAGCCTCTGCACGCTGTACACCTCCCACAGATTTCTCTGCTCATCCAAAATCCTAAGCCCAAAAGCTTAAAACCCGTAAACCCGTATGTTATCCTTAAACCCTACACCTAAAAAGACAGCTTCACCTCGATCCCAGCTCTACATGATCGCTCTTCGTAGACGGTGAGGCGACGACGAGCGCAATTGCGTCGAGTGGTGCGGACGCCCGCAATTCTGCGCGTTCGCAGCGAACGAGGCAGAGCGGATTCAGGGTTTAGGCTGGTGTAGGGCTTTTGGGCTTTAGGAATTTTTGGGCTTTAGGGTTTCAGGTCTGTGTTTAGGGTTTAAGGTTTAGGGCTCGGGGTTTAGGTTCAGGTTTTAGGGTTTAGGGTTGCCCACCGGATCTTCACCACGCCGGCATCTTAGCGTAGCCGCTGTGGAGCTGTCTGCAGGTGGACGACGACCCGACGCCACCATTGGTTGGTAATCCTTCATGGACAAGCTATGTCAAGGCGGAGTACCTCAAGGTGCCGGAACTCGAGGGACATATCAAGCGCTGCATAGATCAGACAGCTGCAATGCTGCATGATCTCAGAGTTCGGATTCTTGTGTGCGCCACAGCTGTTTGTGATGCTGTAGCTGAGTTGTCGACACCCTGGTGCGGGACCGCCTAGTCCCAACTGTTTAGTCATTGATCACAGCTGCTGTCGGCGTGATGGCGCTTTCCGCAAACCAATTCTTAGCTTCCTGGCCCCCATTCTGTCAAGTTTCCCCAATAGGCTCTATTAAACCCGAGCCTGACAACACCCACTATAAACCCTGTGCAACCCCGTTGAAATCAAGCGCCTCCTTCTAGCCCAAGGCGCTGGGCGTCACGCCCATGGACCTTTATGCGATGTTGCCGGGCTACCAGCGGCCAAAGACGCCCCTGGAGGACTGATGGGACTTAGAGCGCTGAATCACTGGTAACAGTATCCCTGGTTTCTTCCATGTAAGGTGTAATATCGCGAGGCCTCTATTGTTAAAGGCCCCTATAGCAGGGGCGCAATCCGGGATTGTATGTGCGTGAATTGTGGAGGACACGAACAATTTGCAAAAGTGTCTGTTTACAGACGCCGGAAAGCGCATTGAGTGCTGATCTGTCTTTCGCCGAAAGTCCGGTTCGAGTGCATGAAGTCGCAATATTCCGGTTTGCGGCAGAATTGTGTTAACAACATTTCAGGCTGAGATGGCACCAAACAGGGACTTAGGATGTGCATCGTTCCCGAAGCAATAGTCACAGCCATTCGCCAGCCTGGCCGGGAGTAGGGAGGAAGCAGTCTTTCACCGGCTGAGCCTTGATAAGAAGTCACCACCCCGTTGTTTCACGGGAAGCAGGCTATGAAGACTTTGAGGCATGTGTTGCGGGGGGTGGGGCGTGGATGTGAATCCTCGAGTTGCTGTTTTCGACAATGTCAGACTCAGATGTTGCTTGAAGAAATGACCGGTAGTAAATTGAACGAGCGCAAGTCTTTGGACCCACGCCCCCAAACCCGGAACCCTCAATCTCGAAAGCCCTAAACCCCTTCCGCCCCTTAAAGCATTCATTTGCAAGTGTGTGTCTTAGGGCCCTAAACCCCTAAAGCCCTAAACCCCTAAACCCCCAAACCCCTGAACCCCTAAACCCCGAAAG